TTCTCCATTGCCGGCCCCCCCCCCCATTGTTACAGCGTCCTGTTACATGGACAAAGTACATGCCGAGTAATCTGTGAATGATCTTATCATTGTGTTACTTTATTAGGAACGTTGTGTCTATGTCACGGGGAACACGGGCCGGACATTTTCCATCCTCTTATCTCAACTGCTGATTAAAGCCAACAGGATCTCTGCTGTCCTGATTGGCAGTCATAGACCATGTGATCAAGGCTGCCTATGGTGGGAGTTGGGGAGCAGCAGTACAAGCAGTACAGTCATGGCAGCAAAGAGATGCACCACACCTCACCTAATAATGTCATATGTGACCTGCTGAGTCATGTGACCTGCTGAGTCATGTGACGTGTGAAAGCCTTTCCCAAGAGATCACCCTTACTTGATTTTTACTTGGAAGTTTAATCTGTTTATAGTTTGTATGATGCTGGACGTCCTCCAGACAGGAAGTGAGGAGTGCTCTATAGGATGTGCTGCAGCTTCTAATGTACATTGCAGCTTGAAGGGGAGGACGGAGGTCAGATAGAAGACTGAGGGGAAGGACGGAGGTCAGATAGAATACTGAGGGGAAGGACGGAGGTCAGATAGAAGACTGAAGGGGAGGACGGAGGTCAGATAGAAGACTGAGGGGAAGGACGGAGGTCAGATAGAAGACTGAGGGGAAGGACGGAGGTCAGATAGAAGACTGAAGGGGAGGGCGGAGGTCAGATAGAAGACTGAGGGGAAGGCCGGAGGTCAGATAGAAGACTGAAGGGAGGCCGGAGGTCAGATAGAAGACTGAAGGGAGGACGGAGGTCAGATAGAAGACTGAAGGGAGGACGGAGGTCAGATAGAAGGCTGAAGGGAAGGACGGAGGTCAGATAGAAGACTGAAGGGGAGGACGGAGGTCAGATAGAAGACTGAAGGGAAGGACGGAGGTCAGATAGAAGACTGAAGGGGAGGACGGAGGTCAGATAGAAGACTGAGGGGAGGGACGGAGGTCGGATGGAAGATTGAGGGGAAGGACGGAGGTCAGATTGAAGACTGAATGGGAGGGAAGAGGTCATATGGAAGCCTTAGTGGAAATC